TGCTAGTAATGTTAAAGTTGAATCAGAAAATTTAACCAAATCAATGATTGAAAGACTGGTGAAGGTTATAAAACATCAAAGAGCCTATATTAATATGTAAACTAATAATATGTCTGAAAGTTTGGGATGAGCAGTAATCATTATTATTTACACTATTTACATGTGGACTTGTTATGGGTTACCACGTGCGGGATTCATGTAAAAAACAATAACTCCAAATTGTTAATCAACAAATATATATTGAACTAACATACAAGAACAAACATGCAATAAAATTGTGTTCAATGTATCGATTAAGTGAAAGAAGTTGTTCCCCTTTAACTGTAGATTGATTTGTAATTAATTGTTCAAGAAAGTTCTCTTGAGAGAAAAGTGTTCAGAAATCAATATTAGAGCAAAGTTTGCATGTTAAGAATAAATAACAAGAATACAATTAATTAAAAATGTGTTGTGTTATAGAATGGTTTGAATCAACAGAGTTCTGGTTGATTGTACTTGGCAAAGTCACAGAGAGAAAATGTAAGTTTGTAGTTAACGAAATTCTGTGTGGTCGTTGAGCAAGATCATGGATTTGTGTTGATGGCTGGAATCTTACAGGATCTTACTCACGACTTGTGAAAAGTCGCCCCTTTTAAGAAAAAAGGGTAGGCTTCCACGGAAACGTGGAAAAACTTAATCTTGCATTAAAAATATGTGATTGGTTAAAAATTAACCAATCATTACACTCATACTAACAGAACAGACAAGCAAGGTCAAAACCAAAGGATTTAAAGAAACCACTGCAATGGCTAAATTGTCCTATATAAATGTAGCCAATCGCAGGTGAATAAAATGTGGGCATGGAAAAACATAGCAACCGCTACAGACTATTGTCCTCATCTTTCTTATTATAATGTTTTAGCCTTCATCAAGTTTATGTTGATCTGGATAACCTATTGGGAATTTTGAAGATGTCTTTATTTAATCTACAGGGGTAGATTGTTCTTGTTTCACTGTTCGTATTTAGGAATATCTCATCTATATAATCTGTTCAATTATATGGGATATTATGTTAATCAAATCTTTCTATGAAAAGATTTATTTTCTTTGTTTTCAATACTTTAGATCTTTTTAGTTTTTCTTAAAATTGTTGAATTTCCAAAGGTAAGTAAAGTGCTATGCAGAAGTGTTTTCTTACATCTTGATGTGCAGTCTCCAAACATCTTGTAATAATTGGTAATGTGCATCAACCTACCATGAGGATATTATAGAATATAACTTCTACATTTCAGTGGATCACACCTCAGTTTCCTCAATTCTGTCATTTAACAACGCCCTGATTGGACAATAAATATGAAAATTGTATTTTGTATATCTTCACGTACAAAGTTCTAAAATCTTAAGCAAGCTAAACATATATAGGCTCTAAACCAAGTTTCAGCAACTGACATATTCTGATTGCTTAATAAATACCAAGGTCATATTTACGCCTACACACAAGTGTTCAAACCAGAGAACTGCCAAAAATATTGAAAACAAAGAAATCAAAGAAAGACAACTCTTTTCCCAATTTACACTGGAAATTTATATAACAAGCATCATAAAGATTTCACTCACAAATCTTTACAGCAGCATAATGCACTATCTTTTATGCTATATAAATCAAAATCATGTTTGTTTTTTGGCACATTTGTTGAAAGTAAAAATAGTAGGAATTGAATTGAGGCCGTTTGATCCTCTACGATATGTTTTCTGTGTTGGGTAGATCACATTCAACTTAAAGTTCATGAGAGAATTTTTATTAAATCTAGATAGCTTTCTTTTTTTAAACAATAGGAATGTTTATTGGATCTCAGTGTGAACTATTTATAACATATGGCAATGAAAAAATCCGTTTCGCAAAGCTGGTCTTACAAAAAGGCAAAAAAATAGTATAGTCAAAAATCGGAAACACAAATCCATCATCAAAAGTCCAAGGAGCAAAAACAGAAAACAGAAAAAAAAGGGTAAAGAAAATCCAACTTACGCATCCTAATATAACAAGCTTCCTCTCACTCACGAATGGAAAAATAAAAATACACTCTCCCTCATCAAAAAAAGCAACAGCTTTTATTGAGGAGGTAAATTTTGTGATTGTTGCGATACTTGTGGAGAAAAAATGTGAGGTATACTTAAGTCAGTAATTATCTAGGATTTACTTATTTTTATTTTTTCCTTTTCTTCTGCAAACCACATTCACAGGACACAAGCTCTTTTTTGAGGTAAATGGTTTTCTTGCTCACCAGAGATATGACTTCAAGAAAATGATTAAAGGTTTGTTCTGATATGAAAGTTTGCTGCTACAAATGCTGGAATTAACATGTTGAATGACATTTAATGCAATAAAAACTGACATAATTAAGAGGGGGACAGGAAGAAAACTACAGTAGTTGATAGTATGAAAAGAAAAAAATGAAAAGAAAAACAAATTCTATAGAATGAGCTAACTGGTTATCACTCTTCACTTGTCAGATCTTGATTGAGAAAATTAAAATATTGTGCATATCAACTAAAAAAGAGGAACATGAAAGAAATATACTCTTAGCAATAATATATTGACACGGGCATATCTATAAACAGATCATCCTATCAACCAATCCTTTTGTTTGCATAAAGATGGTTGTCTTGAGTGTCTATCATTGTACTTATTAACCTTTTCAATTTTAAACCAAACCCTTTATTCAATCCATGGTGGTAGATTGTTCTGATTCAGAGATACTTTATATTTTCTGCTTATAATTAGTATTTCTTTGCTTATGTCAGAATATTTTAGATGAGGCATTATCATTATTATATGGCATTCCATTCTGACAATTATACTCATCTTGATGATTATACTCTAAACATTTTGGCCATTTGTACCCTCCAACCTACTTTAGGTAAACACAATGATAAACATCATTGTACTTGATAAACATCATTGTACTTGGTAATCTCAAAATTTTGAACTAAACTCTTTATTAAATCCCTGGTAGAAAATTATTCTCATTTTGCTTTTATATCAGTCAATACTTTCTAGTATGTCTGCCTTTGTGTCACTTGTCTGTTTCTTCCACGGTTTAACCAATGCTCTGATCCGCAATGTCATATGGATTACAATCCAGTAGTGTAATTTCGGAAACTTAAAACTGATGTCTGTACTCAGGTGGTGCAATTCTACATGCAGAAGTTAGATGGTTATTGAGGTAGTATACTTATGAGAACTTTTGAATTGCAGAAATTGTTGGCATATTATTGATCAAAAATTTTGATTATTTGACAAATTAACAAATACAGTATACATCTCAAGAATTGTATATAGAGTTGGTATATTTTCTTTTTCAAAGAATCATGATTTATCTCCACAAAGAAGTGAATATTTATCAAGCCAAAGATAAAATGGTATTGTCGTTACATAAATTGCAATGTTGGATCTTATTTGTGGAAGAAATAATTTTTTATAACGTTTTATTCAAGAATCTGAACTGGATTTAGATGCTGCAATGAGCAGTGATATTAAAATATAATTTCTGAAGCTTTATTGGAATGTCTGAGTAGTTTCCAAATTTGAAGAACAATTTCAAAATTGATTAAAAGAGCAGCATGATTTCTGGCAGTGGATTATGAAAATTTAACTGAAATTATTTCAGATGTTCACTTAAAGGCCAAGTTCGAAGGAGTTTGACTAGCAAATATCTAGTGTGATATATTTTATGAATATCTAGATTTATCAAAATGAATTTTGTTACTGTTTTCAATATCATAGTAGACTGGATGCTGCACCAGAAATGCAAATTTAGTTATTTTATATGAAACCAAACCTGTAGAAGATACTGGAATCAAAAAAGCAACAGCATTCTTCACATATATGTCTAATTTTTTTTATGAGTTACAATTAAAAACACATTTTTATTTTAATCTCTAATTAGTTTTTTTATATGAATAAATTATCATTAAAATAGTTTTGTTTATTTATTTTATTTTAATTGGTATCATCCCAAGCAAGACAGCAAAGCCACTAAAACATAAGGGGTGTGGAAGAATTAGGAACAAAAATATTAATAATGAGCAGAATTAGTAATCAGGAGGACAGTAGATAACAATTGACATTGTATTTAAGTTTTTGCAAATTAAAGTTGGCTGGAAAGTATGGAGCCAGAAGGGAGTTCCATAAGCAAGAAATTGTTAGCATAGAACTTATGGCTACATCTAGCCAACTCAACAGTAAATTAATGAGGTCTCAATGCCTGTCTAGTACTGTGCTTAAACTCATAGTCTTGGTACCTTAGCAAAGAGATCATCTGAGCAATTACCATGAAGGTATTTCTTACACTGTGGTAAATCACTGAAGCCGAGTCACCAGATCAGGACCAATAATATTGCTGACTCTTCTTTGGATCTTATCAAGGAGCTTAAGGTAAATAGCAGGGGCTCTGGACTACATGGCAACAATATTCTAAGCATGATCAATTTCTGGAGAGAAAAATTGTCTCGCACAACACAGTGAACCACCTTTCTTAGCAGCTGACCTAGCATTGGATTCAATATAGTTTTTTCTACTTTATGTCTGCTGAGAACATTCAAAACTATAGTGATATAATGTTAACACTTCCCTATATCTTTAGGTAATCCTAAAAAATTAGGAAGGTCTTAACATTATTCTTGAAAAATTGTAAGAATTCCTTGACAAAAAATATTTAGAAACCATTGATGTAGATATTAGTTTTTTTTTTTTTTTCATTTCATTTATAAGTAAAGCATTATAGAGAAATTGTATAAAAGCTTTAAACTTTTATATAATTTCCCTATAATGCTAGTATTTAATTTTTGATAAATGTTTTATTTTTATATTGAAATGTTTAGTAATCTATATTAAATCCTTTGAACAACTTTTAGCTTTCACATTTATCTGAATATAAATTTATCGGGAGTATGTATCATTTTAATAACGATAATTTTATATCCATGTATTATTTTTTTGATTTGCTTGAATTTATTTACAGTGCTTAGAATTTGGTTGTATCATTTGGGGAAAAATGTCTGGATATCGTCCCTGGCCTGGTTTGACAATTGCTGGTGAATTAGCTGGGAAAAATAATTCTCCAGGATCAACTTGGATCTTTTGGTTTGGTGACCACAAAATTTCAAATGTAAGAAGTGATATTTATTCAGTCTCAATTTGAAATAGTTTTCATGATCTTTCACTTTTTTTTTATAATATAAGGTATGGTTTGAATCCTTTTACCAATTCTTGATCATACTTAAATTGTTATTTTCTTTCTCTTTTTAACTTTGATAATCACAAAGTTTGCTCCTGCATAGCATTTCTAAACCAATGTAACAAATAAAAGCCAAAGTAAAAAACACCACTGAATCCTCCCTTATGTTGACATTTATTATCCACAATGTTCTGGTCTTTGTAAAAAAAAGTCCTATGTTCATTTATTCAAGCCATAAAATGTTGAATTGAAACTTGAAAACATAAAAATACAAATTATTGGGGAATAAATTTCAAATACATTTTTCAGAGTCAGCACTTGAACTAGTAGTAGAACTTGGAATTAAAGAATATAATATAATATCCCCAATTTTGAATTCAGGAATGGAATGAATCTGATGAGATACTTGTACTGTTTCATCTCCTCTTTTGACCATTACTGAATGAGTCTTATTATTGCCATATATTAATTCTATGGCTCTTTCCAGGAGATCTAGGTTTATTGGGATTTTTTTATAAGTAATACATCCTCTAATATTAGTTAAATATTCTTTAAACCAAAGCTCACAAAATTTGTTAAATGTAGCAGTACTAGTTTTGATTGAATTGACTACATCAGATTTAGATAAGGAATCAACTTGCTAAATGTAGTATCTTAATATGATGGGCATACACATATACTATGTACATAGCAGCAGATATAAACACCGCCTATTGCTTTGTAGGAAATAAATATATAGAGATTCACCATTACACCTCATTATCACGTGTTCTTATTCATGAGACTGAAGATTGTAACGATCTTAATAGCAAACATGAAATACACTGGCAACAAGAAAAACTAAAAACACAAATGTGATATGGCGGCAGAAAATCTAAGCAGTCGAATTAAGAACTTTAACTGTTACAGCAAACTGGCAACAATAGGCCCCAAATTGACCTGGTGGCTGAAAGCATTCAAATCTTATATCCAGAGACAAGGACTACTTGTTGAAGAATTCATAAAAGGTGAGTGAGACAAAGAAGACATACTTTACTATTGCATTTAGCAGAAATTTAGAAAGAAATTTTCACAACACTGCTGGACACAGACTATGAAGCAGCAGTGGCAGCTCTAAACAACTACTTTGTACCTCAAGTGAACATTTCTTTTTCTATAGACAAGCATTCCAACAGCCAGCCTAAAATTTCCAACAGTATGCCACACATCTCTGAAAACTTGTCCTGGTCTGCAATTATGGTAACAATACTAATAATCACATTTGAGATGGGCTATTGTGGAACTGTAAATCCATGTATATCAAATATAGACTACAAGAAGGAGGTGACTATCTAGTGCTCGACATTGCCATAGAACTGGCCACACAGTCAAAGGAAATAGAATTGCAGATGTGCTCTTCAGGCATAGAAATAGAAGAGAGAAAAAATTGTGAGTACAAACTGCAATATATGTACCAAAACAAAAAGGTAAAAAAAATTCAGAACACACAAACTAACCCACAAAGTGAACGTGCTACAAGTGAGACTTGACTGGATACTATGGAAGGGATACACAATACCCAGCCTGTGGAAAAAAAAAATGTAATAAGTGCAGTAGGACAAATCACTTTGCGAGCATGTGCAAAAAAAAAAAAAAAACAGATGAACATGGTAGCTAGACAGCAGTAACAATTTGACACAAAGACTGAATATAGCTTATGCTTTTACAATCAGCAATGTCAAGTATGGCAAAGTGACACTCAATCTTGGAAGCATACTATTAACTGTGTTCGCCAGCATAAATGTTATCAATAAAAATACATGGGCAAAGCTAAAATGACAGACAGTAAAATGCATAAGGATTAAGGTGGGACCAACAAAGCCACTGTTTGTCTGTGGATGTCCCAAACCACTGACAACACTGGAAACCTTCAGAACTGAAGCCAAAATCTGTGACAACAAATGCAATGCTGAATTTTTTGTCATAGATGGTGTAGGTGTACCACTACTAGGCCTTGAAGACAGCTACACGCCTCCAGCTCCTAAAGATACAGAATATTGGAAAGGTGAGTCCCATTGTACATTTTGACAACATTTAAGTTAAGGGACTCAAAGAAAAATTGCAAAAAGATTATAAACATGTATTGTCTGGAATTGGTGATTTGAAGGGTCACCCAATCAAACTAAGTGGATTGGTCAATAAAACCCTCAGTTCAATGTCTTCACCAAATCCCATTCAGGTTTAGAAAAATGGTGCCAACCCTGTGCCAGAATAGAGACATGTACTACAACTACAGCCCTATTGTTTCCAAGTGGTGTATTCTGCTGGAACTAAGATGATTGTGGACCCACTCTTTGGCTACTCAAACCTGAGAATGAAACAAACACTGAACTTGGATATGAAACCAAACAATATGTTCAATTTGTAACTGTAGAAGCAATACCAAAGTCCACGTCAACATGTCAGATAGAGGAGCTCAAAGCATTCTTTGTGAAAGCAGCATCACTCATAGAAAGTGCAATCCACTGTGACCACAAGCCAATGGAGAGGTGGCATGACAAAACTGTTCTATGCTAAAGGCCCTGAAGATATTCATGCTCAAGGCAAAAACTCTTGAAAGAAATTGAACACCTACCTCTGATTTACTTCTAATTCTTTTATTTATTGTTTTGTGGCTATTATTGTCATTAAAGTAACATTTGATGACAAACTTTACTACAACATCTAGTGTAAAATATATGTTTATGCCTGTATGTTTTTATGTGTTTACCTCTGATGGTCATTCTTGTTGTAGTAGAGGAGTTTGCATGGTCCAGTGACTGAGAACAATGCCATCTGGTTCTAAACTCCTGGCAGCAAAGTCGAAGACAAGGACCCAGAGTAAGCACAACCAACCCCCAAAACACAATGGTGGAACAAGTGGATGATGATTACAACAGATCTCAAGAGTTGAACCAGTGGATGAAGATGGCTACACATGATGGACATGCTTCAGAAGGCACTACTCAAAATCAGAGGCAGTCCATTACAGTTTCCTAACTGGATTATTCTATATGTGCTGCAGAGGAAGGTCATGAAATCAAGATATGTGGGTCACACTCCTGGCAAGTTGAGGTCCACCATAAACAAATTCATGTCATCGGCACTTTCTTCTACTTTGATTTACTTTCACTTTCAACTAAATTTTGCAAAGCCAAACTGCAATATAGTATGGATGATGGGAACAAGTTTTGGCAAAAATGGAAGCTTCTAGTTCTGAACCTGCACGTTGGCAGTGAATGTAGTCATCAACACCATCATCATAAAGGAAGCAATCAGCAAAGAAGAAATTAAATTCTTGGATATAATTATAACTGGGAGGGACCAATTTAATTTTTTCATGCCAATAAATTGTTATTTTTGTATATGATAGAATTTTCAAATAATTCTTTATTTTTTTTTCCTTATAGTCATGATTTTTTTTCTTTATTATAGTCATAATATTTTGTTCCCTATAGTCATAATTTTATAGTTTTTCCTTATAGCAAACAATTGATCTTCCATTACACTTAATGATTCCCTACTAAACATTTTTATTTATATTTCTTTCTACAAGTCTTTCAAATACTTTAGTCAAGGACAAGAAGGAAATGGTTGTTCTGTAGGCCTACATATAAGCCTACCTTAAAGCTAGGAGGAGGAATAAATACAAAATGTTCTTTGTTTTAGCTTTATAGTATTTATCGCATATGGGATTAATGTGTGCTTTAGAATTTGCACCAATTAAATGAAGAATAGAAGTTATTATTTTTTAACCAGTCATAACTATTATGCTTCAGACTTGTGCTCAACTCTCACATGTTAAACTCTTTACATCTTGTTTTCCTACTTTTAAAAATGTTATCTCGCACATTTGGATATAGAATGTCTGCAATGAACTTTTCAAAACTTGTAATAAAATTTACATATTTCACTTTATACTAACATGGAAATCTTTCAAAGTCAAATGTTTTGTTTATCACTTATGTTATTTTTCAAGGTTTCCATTTAGAAAAATCAGAATTGAGAATTATTTTCTTTTTTTAAACAGAAACTTCCACAAAATCGCTAGTAAATTAGCACACCATGATGAAAAATGCTCCAAACTTAATGAAAACAAAATTTTATTGTCAAAATCTTTGTTATTATTAAGAGGAAAGATCAAAGCATTTTTTAATATTTAACTAAATTTTTAATTAGTTGATGTATAGGAAAATTTAGTGTCTTTTTTGCAGTTAAAAAAGTACATTGATTTGGAAATTCTTGCAAAATCAAATAATTATCAGATTTTAATGAAATTTTCAGGACATATTCACAAATGAATGAAATTATTTCTGAAATTTTTTTTTTTTTTAAATCTTGGTAAAAAAAATTTTTTTTTATATATCTGTTACCCACACTTAATTTTATGAAATTTTGAGAAATTTCAGCCTCTTCAGATATATATTAGTTAAAAGAAGGACTCTGGAGAATTTAAATCATTTACACCATTTACTGAAAATCTGCTCTGAATCATAAAATAAAAAATGCAATAAAACTATGACATTATTAGAAAAAAATTTAATTGCTTTTATAAATAAGATATATTAAGGACACTATCATAAGAATTTTTTTTTTTATGAGTATTGAATCTTTGCATTTTTTTAAATTTTAATTAAAAAAAGTTTTAAAGTTTTTAAAATTCTGTATTAATTTCAGCCTTTTAGATGATATTATTAAGTAAAAACTATATTTACTAATAATAAATGGAAAAGCTAAATACAAATCATCAAATACCAATATTTTTAAATATATTTCAAATTTTTTTTATTGTGTATAAACATACCGATTTTTGTAAATATGGGTAAACATTCACAGCATTATCAGAAAATAAGAGTGATAATTATAGTAAATTTAAGTCAACATTAGATTACAAAGAATATTTTCCTAAATTT